GTCTGAAGGTCTGTGTTCAGTTCCCAACATGGATAGAATGTGTGAAGTCCATATGTGGTATTACCCACCACTACTAAAAGCAGCAGAAAAAGAATTAATTGTTTATTCATTATTTCAATCATTGGATTGTCTGGTCCAGACATGATTATTTACAACATACATACATTTACAACGGACATACATTTACAACAGACATATTGATTGTATTTGCTGGAAAGTAGTGGTGGACCGATTAATTGAAATAATTGAAGGTTGGTTGCAGTGACTAAACGACCAAGCAATCGATCATGTTTTCTCATAATCGAACACAAACAATTCTGGAACACTTGTTTTCATAAACAATATTTTTCACAAGGTTGGTTTTGTCTGTTACAGTTCATAAGCACTACAAGCTTGTTTCAAGTCATGATTGAATTTATCTTAAAGACTCCAAGAAATTTATGTTCCTGACATACTAGTCATCCTTTAAAGATGTGAAATTTTGCCAAAACACCCAAAAGAACTACATGTTTATTCCTTATTTTTATGTGCATTAACAAATTTCATTAATGACGCTAACCAATTGGTTTCTATGATTGATCGGTTGTAATGAACCAATCATCAGTTATGAGATTTTAACCAATTCCCAACACTATTTGAAAGACAATGAGTTTCTCAAAATACAAGCAAAACAAAAACACAGGAAGCTTAGACTAAGGCTTAGTCTCTGAATATATATAATTTTGATAGTAACAAACAAGCCCATTTATATTGAAAAGGAGCCCTAGGGAGACCAGAGATTCAGACCTGAACCTGAGGAAATCTAGACTTGCTTCATTTAGGGCTTTAGCACTGTAGAGAGGGCTTGGCAGTAGGGAAAATAATGTGGTTCAGGGACTGTGAGACAGACTACATACAGAGCTTCATATCCTACAAGATACTCCACATTCAAAACACTTTCTAGAATTATCGAACATGTAAATAGTGATTTGCTTATCTCTATTGGACAGATAGGGAAACATATTTCAGATGAGGATGTATTTTCTCACACTGCAATGGGCGGTGCATTTTTCCCATGTAACCTGTCACCACCTAGCCCAGCCTCTGTCACCCTGTACGTGTCAGCCATGTTTAGTCGGAGCGTCAAAGTTCACATGTTTTGTAAATTGGACATATATTTATCTAGGATATCCAAACAATATCCATACAAGGCCTACACAAATTGTAATGTGCACATATTGGAGCACGAACAACAGTTCTGACACTGGGGAATGTGTAGCCATTAATTCAATTTGCATTTCTGTCTGTGTTATAAATACCAGGCTGTAGAAACAGATATGTTGAGTGTGTTATGTATTGAACAGATGGGTATTAGAAATGTTTATGTTTGGCTGACAGATATCAGTATTTTTTAATTCAAAAAGTACTTTATTTGTACTTTCATTTTGTGCTATTCTCAGACTGTTAAATTAGCTGAAAGATACCTCTTGAAAACTGTAATTTTATAAGCATTTTAATGATTAAATTAAGATTTTTAAAACAATTAAATTTAATTTTTATAATTTTAGAATTGAATATAATTTTGAAAATTTTACATTTTTGTATATTTTTGTGTGTTATTTGCTAATGCAGTGATGATTATTTTATTTCTATTTGATTACTTTTTTACAAGAGTTTCACAGAGTTAAAAAAGGTCGGCAAAATGGTTGAACTGGTACATTTTTTCCCCAGAATGAAAAATATCAATGGACCCAATGTCATCTTGACATTGAGCACTTTTGTGATACCCCAGGGTGTGCAGATGTCTGATTACCCAGATAATCCTCAGCCAAAGATGCTGGTAATAAGAGGCAAGGAAATGGCTCAAGTTGTCAGGCTCAGGTGCTCCATTCATTGTAGTTAGTGAGTTTAGTTTTACGCCACTGTTAGCAGTATTCCAGCAATATCACGGCGGGGGACACCAGAATTGGGCTTCACACATTGTACCAATGTGGGGAATCGAACCCGGGTCTTCGGCGTGATGAGCGAATGTGATACTTTGTAAGACGTGGTACCATGACAGTGTGGATTGTAGCTCACTAGGTCAATCACTGGGTTGCTTGGCCCTGACATGATTATAAACAGGCTGCCTTCATGCAGCTGGGACGTTACTGAGTTTCTTATACCATTATGATGTCATCACACCATTGTTGTTGCAGGTGATTCTTGGCCAGGAATTCACTGGCCATTCCCACTTGTATCTTGTTCATGTAAATCTGTAGGTCATTATGCTAGATTATAAGGTAGAGAAATGTCAACCAAAACATGGTTCAAGTTGTTGAAATCTCTCAAACTTGTGGATGCCAGAAGTAAGATCTAGAGATTTTCATGATTTTCCCATTACCTATTGTTGTAGATCATAGAGTGAGTGAGTGAGAATGATTTTATGACACTTTCAGCAATATTCTCTCAGTATCACCACAAGGGCAGTAGAAACAGGCTATACATTGTGTGTCAGTATGGGACCATATGGGGATTTGTACCTAGGGATGTGGCATGGCAAACAAACACTTTAATTACTAGACTAGCCTACTGCCTCACAGAGAACAGGCCTCATGGAACTGTAACATGTATGCTTCAGACTGAAACCACTCCTATAATTCCCGACATGAGTTGGTATCTTGGGTGTGTTTTGATGTGTGTGTAGAGTAGATAGCCCAACTGTATGTCCCTAATCAACATTGACATAACTTGACTACACCTCCCATTCACAGAGATATAAACCTGGTCAGCATGGAGTTGAAAGACCAAGGTCGTTGTCCGTGTTTCTTTTGACCATTGTCATTTGGCGAACCTTTAAAGTTTATAGGTGCTACTTTCCTGAAGAAACTGTTGTTTGAGACAGTATGAACTGGCTGTTGTGTGAACTACACAGGTGTGAATACCATGTAAACCAATACTTTAGGAGGTAATTAGGTGTTGTTTTTATGTTCAGGGTCTTGTTTGTGTTATTGATAAGCATAGACATGTTTGTTTACAGGAATGATTCTGTATTAGGATTTCTAAATGTCACAATGTTTGTCAGGGGCTTACCTCTTCCTGTTCCTACCCAGAGGAAAATATTGACGCTGAGCTTGCAGCAAATGTCAGTCCAAATTACAAAAAAATTGAATTGGATTTAGTAATTTCCAAAGTCATGTTGTTGTTAAAACTAATGTTATGTCTTTGTAGACTTTTTAGATGTCTTTGGCGCCTTGTATTTCAATGGTAACTGTCAACAACAAAAAAGACAGAATATGCTTTACGGGTAAATTTACACTACTGTAATAAACATGTGCAATGTTATTTATAGTGTCTCCAAAGTTGATAAAAGAGGAGCTATAAAAATGTCCTTAAAGATACCATGACCTTTTCTAATGATGGGTGCCACAAGTAGAGCAAGATGGCTAACCTTTTCTAAGGAGAGCTGGATGTACTATAGACATGTTTTCTTAACTATTCAGCAATAAAAATAGTACTTTGCATTTTTGTGATGTGCCAAATCCACACCTTAAAGGTGACCGAAGCACTAAGTCACTGACCCAGCCAGTGGATCAGTGTCCACAGAACGTGCATTCGGGTTAGAATTGGTCTTCAGCAACCCATGCTTGTCGTAAGAGGTAACTAACAGGATCGGGTGGTCAGGCTCGCTGACTTGGTTGACACATGTCATCGCATCCCAACTGCATAGATTGACGCTCATGCTGTTAATCACTGGACTGTCTAGTCCAGACTTGATTATTTACAGATCGCCCCCATATAGCTGGAATATTGCTGAGTGCAGCGTTAAACAACAATCAGTCAGTCAGTCAGTCAGTCTCAGCTCCTTAGGGAGTATACAAGTGCACATTGTACACATAGAAGCGATACTCGAAACAGTGTACATGACCACATTCCTTTAAATATCTCCAATGTAATCAGCCCCACACATGGTTCACTACTCACATGAGATAAGAGTCAGATATCATACCTGCATGTTACATAACTCACATGACACTGGAGTTAGTGTCTTGTCAGCTCCTGAAGGAAGGTATTTGTCGAATTTAGTTGTCGACTGCCTGTTCTAAAATGTTTGTGAACAAATTAATGTTGTTGCTGACAGTATAATTGCTTGTATGTGAAGCAGTGCAAACAGAAATACATGGTCTTGATTTTGTGTGCAAATGGAATTTTAAGTGTGCCAAAAAGAAGAAAATTTTTCAAAATGAGAAAGAGAAAGCCTGTTAGTTGAGCATGTTTATTATTTTACATGCTCTTACATGCCTAGCGTGAAAATTTTTCAAAATGAGAAAGAGAAAGCCTGTTAGTTGAGCATGTTTATTATTTTACATGCTCTTACATGCCTAGCGGTCAAAGCCTTCACTCATCACGCCAAAGACCCTGGGTTTAAAACACCACTTGGGTACAATGTGTGAAGCCCATTTCTGGTGTCCCCTGCCGTGATATTGCTGGAATATTGCTAAAAGCTGTGTACAACCATACTCAAATTTGGGGAGATTTTATCTAACTCTGCCACTTTAAGGTATTTTTACAACAGTGGCAAAAGACATTTGCAAGAAACACATTACATAGTTGTGTTATAACTATAGAATTTCCTACAATACAATTATACCACACAAAACTATTGGTAAACAAGTTTCAGAACTCTGGAAAATAACAACAAACCCATATTGTTTGTTGCATTATATGCGTGGATTGCATCACTGGTGTGGAATGTTTTGGTTCCCAACTATAGAAACCAATCACTGACTGTTATTTCAGACGGTGATTACACAAGTTACATCATCAGCTATTAAAACTACACTCATTTTTATTTGTCTTCTTAACTGAAAAAATTCATATTGTGAAAAAATGTTTAAAAATTTAATTTGGTTTTAAAGTTACAATAAAATAAAAATGATGTAGAATGGAAATATTTCTGCGACTTGCCATGGTTTTTTTTGCCATTTATACTAAGAAAATACTTTCTGACGTTGCTGAACATGCTTCTGTTTCTGTGACAGGTGAGGTATGGCCAACTACCGGCCAAATGTCCCTCCGTCTCCCAATCCGTCCATCCAGAGTGACCGCCGCAGGCCCCGACCGGACAGCGTGCGAGCATCCCGGAACAGCCTGGCCCGACAGAGCACAGGAAGCAGTATATATGGGTACCTGGTGGGAGGTGAGTTGTTTTTTGGTAAATCATGGTGGTGCTGGGCATATATATTTTTCACTTAGTAGTACTTCATTATTTTATATAAATCTGATTATTATTGTTTTACATATACAATTACTGAAGAATGATCATCAATATAAAATTGGAAATAATCTTCCTAACACTGGTTTATGATTACTAACGATGTTTGTTTTATTTATGATAATTGAAATTGATCTGGGCCAACTTTCACAAAGCACTAAATTGATCGTAAGTCACTAAGGTAACCTTAGTGTACTGTTAATGAATGGGAGTTAAGGTTAACCTTAGTAAAGGTTGCTTCGTGAAAGGAGCCCCAGGAAAACATTTTCAGTGTGTTATAATATTATTATTGTTAGTGGTAAGGAAAACTGCTTCATATCATCATAGCATGATAGCTTTTGATTGTGAGGAAAATGATGAATATTGTGGGAAAAAACAAATATGTTTCATTTGCATATATTTCATATTCTTTTATTTCAGGAAGAGAAATTGAAGCTACAAAAATCCTAGATGTGCTACAGAAGGGTATTGTCATATTGTCAGGTGAGGAAAACAGAAGTCACATCAAGGGTACCGTGGCACTGTGATGTGGTCAGTGTGTCGCTTGCGTGTAATCAATCTTGTAGCAGAATTTTTTACTCTTTGGAGACGTGATAGAATCTTTTTAGGGAGGTTGACAAGAAGAGAGTCACAGTAGCCGAGACGGCTGATGATAAGAGTTTGAACAAGAAGTTTGATGGTGTCCAAGGTCATGAGAAATCTGATTTTTTACAATATTGTCAATATGAAAGTAGCAGCTTCTGAACACAGAGCTGACATGCTCTTCCATGGTCATGGTTGATTGGAAAATAACTTCCAAGATTTCTGGCCTTTAGGGTGTGTCACTGACAGAACATGCTCCAACATTAATAGAAGGCTTAAGGTTCAGCTCTATCCCAAATTTTCACAGGGACATCTGGGGCAGAGGGGTAGCCTAGTGGTTAAAGCGTTCGCTCGTCACACCGAAGACCCAGGTTCGATTTCCCACATAGGCACAATGTTTTAAGCGCATTTCTGGTGTCACCCGCCGTGATATTGCTGGAATATTGCTAAAAGTGGCAAAAAAATAAACAAACTCACTCACTCACCGGGACATCTCAAAATAACTGACTTTGAAATAAAGTTATATTTATTCTTTATTCTGAGGTGTTTAAAAAAAACTATTTTTCCATATGAAAATGCATATCTAGTAACATTAGGTTATAATAGCAGTAAAACCTTTCATGTAGAACATGGTATGAATGCAAGAGATTATTAATTAGACATTTTACTTCATTATCGTTAGCTGTCTGTATAACCTTATTATCATTAGCTCTCTGCTTAACCCCATTATCATTAGCTCTCTGCTTAACCCCTACATTATTAATGCCAGCATTCCTGAGTCTGTAATTGTAAGTCATGTTGAGCCAGCCTCATCAACCACAACCACTTCCTAGTGTGAAAAACCCCATCATTAATTCATGCCAACATTTTTCTCCATTGATTCCCTGCATTAGAATGATGTTTGTTCATCTTTAGTTTGATCATGTATATTTGTGAGGCTTGAGAGACATGTGGGTAGTAGCACATGGCCTAGTGGTAGAAACATGGCCAAGTTAAGCCAGAGACATGGGTTTGATTCCCCACATGGTTACACAGCCCATTCTTGATGCTTATTGCTGTAACCTGTAAAACGAGATCCTGTACTCATTCAGACTTTACAAATGAGACTTCAATTTTTCTTGTCTTCAACCAAGAACTGGCCATTTGTTATATTAGTTGGTGAGCCAGTAAAGTTAGAAAGGGTGGGTGGATTGAAAATGTGACACTGTTGAACTTTGTTCAGGTCATGCATTGTCTCTCTGACCACAAACCTCCAATATTGTGAAATTCTTTGAAAGAATTTAGGAGTAACTCTCAAATTGATTCTGGTCCTAATCTGGTGGAGAGAAAGAGATTCAGAGTTACCTCCCTTACATAACATTTCAGCAAGTTGTTGTCTCAACAAGTACACTTGTTGCAATTGTAAAATTCTTCAGTTTTCTCATGAGTTGACTTTGCATAAATGTTGGATAATGCTTTGTACTCCCAGTCATATAAGAGAATTTATACAGAATTTATTGAACATTTTTAGATGATCATCTGAAATTCAAATTTCTAACATTTCTACAATCTAGTATGAATGAACATAACGAAAATGAACATATGATATTTTGTTTATTCGATTTTATTCAAATTTATTCAATTTATGTTTCAGGAGGTCGCGACCCTCAAGGAGGACCACTCATAACATTCCCAGCCAATGGGAAGCGAGGGGACTTTTCCCCTACAGACATCGCCACATGTCTCAAGTACCTAGCTCAGATACCCAGGTGAGGTTTGAGATACAGCTGTTGCCTGCTGTCTTGTCATCAGCATAATAAACAGAGAGCCAATTGGTATATAATTGTATATAACATTACCAACTGTCAAATAATTCTACAACATCAGCAACTTTAGAGATGTTGTTTTCAAGTTGTTAACGTACACTATGATTTTGTCAGGGGGAAGTCATTCCAGAAAAAATGAGTGGTAAAATTCAAACTGCCAAATTTGTAATTTTACAAATCAAGGTGTCACTTGTGTTTAGAGGTGGGAAGAGGCTTATCTTCAGCTGATGGGGTAGCCTAGTTGTTAAAGTGTTCGTTCGTCACACAGAAGACCTGGGTTTGATTCCCAGCATTGAAATAATATATGAAGCTCATTTCTGGTGTAACATCACATGATATTACTGGAATATGAAATACTGTTAAGAAAAGCATAAAACCATACTTACTTACTTTGCAGTGTATTCATTATATATCGGGCAAAACTTATTGACAGGATTATGTGTGATGGAGGGAGAAAGTATGGAGCCCTTGCCTCCCTTCAGCCTGATCCTTGACACACACACACACGCGACGCATGCACACACACACACACACACACACACACTCACACAGAGATCTGACATGGATCAGAATACTGATGAAACTGTTTATAAGCCTTTTTTTTCAAAATTGTCACTGTGCAGAGTTGCATCTTTTTGATTTGTCAGAGCTGTGTGATTCCCAGATTATGTTTTTAGGTCAGCAGCATACTCACCTTAACAAAGTTGAAAACATCCCAGATCAGAATTATTTTGGGTTTTCCTGTCACATTAGCCAGTGATATTGCTGTAATAATATTGTCCAAAGCATTATTTAACCCAACACACTGGTAGTTTAGATTTTGTTTAAATTTGAGATTGCTTTAACTCTTGCCTTGCTTCATCATGTCTAATCTTCTTGTTGCACCTTTGTTCCAGTGAGGAGTACAAGAGGCGTGGCTTCAGTATAGTAATTGACAGTCGTGATGGGTCCTGGTCTAATCTAGTCACTGTTCTAGGATGTCTCAAGGTCAGCATGACTGTAGTATAGTCAGACATGAATTTATCAGGGGCGGTGGGGTAGCCTAGTGGTTAAAGCGTTGGTTCGTCACGCCGAAAAACGTGTTCGAATCCCCACATGGGTACAATGTGTGAAGCCCATTTCTGGTGTCCCCCGCTGTGATGTTGCTGGAATATTGCTAAAAGCGGCGTAAAACCAAACTCAGTCAGTGAATTTATCAAATATAAAATGACATCATGACTTACACATGAGACACGTAAATGACACAGTTTTCATTTATTTGTAACGGATCGGAAAAGTGGATCATTATAGTCATAAATTGATCACACAAGAAAGTTTGTATGTTCATATTTTGGTGAAATACCAACCATAAGTTTGCAGTTCAGCCTGATTCTCAAACCAACAGTTTCCTGACTTTGATGTTTCATGCCCTACCATGTATAGGCTTGCTAGTTCACTTCTACATATTCTACTTATGAAGATGAACATATGCCTGTTTCAAACAATTGTTTGGTTCATCATCTTCAGACTGTTGGGTGTTCAGAGAAGGTCTTGAGATGTTATAGACTTGTGTTGCTATGGATTATGCTTGTGTTGTCAGCAATCCTTGGGGGAGTACCTGAAGCAGGTGTTTGTCATCCAGGCAGAGTATGACCGGCGGAACAGCCTGAGGAGAGAGAGGCCCTCTGTCAACATTGAGGTGAGACCCATATCATGTTTATGGCACATTCAGGTAGAATAAAGTGAAACTGTCATGCCAGTCCATATTCACTGTACACCTCAGATACTGCTGAATTTGTAAGATGACTATTTTGATTGATTGACCATGACCTTGATCATGACCATAGCAATGACCTTGACCTTGAAATATTGCTAACTGTTGAGTAAAACAAGATTCACTCGCCTTTGATCACCCAATACTGCCCAGAGCCTGACATGCTCCCTTCCAATGCAGTTTTGTCAGTGAAAACTTTATGTTTCAGCCCTTGTTTGTTTCGGTGCCCAAACTACATGAGTACATAGACAGAGCCCAGTTGACAACTGACATTGGAGGCTTTCTACCATACAACCAGAAAACATGGCTGCAGAACAGACTGGTCAGTATAACACAGTTGTGTCAAGCTGTTGTGTCCAGTGTATCATTTTGATCATTGTATCTCCTGATGGAAGATCAAGATGTTGTATCCTTTATTCCAGCCATCCAAAGAGTTCAGATAATGTGAAATCCAATATATGTGAAAAATATGGTGTTTCCATAAGTTTCTTCTTAGACTAATACGGAAGAAATGGGAAACAAATATGAAAACATATTTGAAGGCACATCTTAATATTTTTATATTTTTATTGATTGACATGTCAAAGTGTAACTCCCCTTCAAATATTTATTGGAGACACTGGTTTTCCATTTTGTCTAATTTGACGTGGGGAGCTTCATCCCTTAGGCAGCCCCAAGTTTATGTTCAATACATGTTAAGCCAAATGTATTCACTCTTATATCCAACCACTTTGACAGCGTTAATTGTTGCTGACATGTTTCAACAGTCTCGAGAAAAAGGTAAAATGTCTTAGAATGTCTACCAGTGAAGAATTGTGTTAGAATTGGTCTTCAGCAACCCATGCTTGTTGTAAAAGGTGACTAACAGATTGGGTGGTCAGGCTTGCTGACTTGGTTGAATGTGCCATCGTATCCCAAATTGCGTAGATCGATGCTCATGCCATTGATCACTGGATTGTCTGGTCCAGACTCGATTAGATACAGACTGCTGCCATATAGCTGGAATATTGCTGATTGCAGCGTAAAACTAAACTCACTTACTCACTCACTCACTCACTCACTCACTCACTCACTCACCCACTCACTCACTCACTCACTCACTCACTCACTCACTCACTCACTCACTCACTCACTCACTCACTCACTCACTCACTCACTCACTAACTAAAATGTCTGTTGTTGTGCAGGACTTGGAGCGGTTCCTACAGGAATGTCAGGACGTGGTGCAGCATCTGGACCAGGAGGAGGTGCGCATCCAGCAGACTTACTCCCACCAGGACCCCCAGATGAGCCCCATCGAGGCCCTCCGCCAGCACCGCTACTTCCAGGAGTCTATCATGGTCTCTCCACAACAAGTCATCAGCTCGGGTGGGTTCTATAGGCTTCTGTACTGGGATGACACTGAGTGTACTTGTTGGAATATTGTTGCAGTTTCAGTAATATTGCTTGATATCTCTTTCTGAAACAGTCAATAGTGGGTGATATCTCTCTCTGTAACACCTGTTGATATCACTTTCTGTAACAGTTTTCAATGGTGTTGATATCTATGTCTATGACAGCAGTTAATATTCGAGGTGATTAGTGTTTTTTTGCAGCTATTGGTATCTGCAGATTAGCCACTTCTTGTAACAGCAAATGATATCAGTTTCTGTAGAAGCCATTGATATCTGTTTCTGATTGAATTAATGTCTGTAACTGCTAGCGATATTAGTTTGATAAGGTCAGTGATATCAGTTTTCATATTACCAACTGGTGTCAGGTCCTCTTCCAGCAAATAGTACCAGTAACACTATTGCCTACTACTCTTGTATAAACCAACATTACCATATCCACTCCAGGTAAAGACCTACTGAATCGGCTGCAGTACGACAGCAGTCAGAGTGGCTTCCGGTCGGAGGATGAGGTGATCCCAACCCTGGACAACCTGGAGGCACAGAAGCAGACAAAGCGGGTGATCCAGTATCTGGAGAACCGGGTGGAGAAGCTGCAGGACTTCCTGGATGACCGGGACAAGTATCTCAACCTCAGCATGAAGTACAGCGAGTGGAAGAGGAAAGTCAAGTCTGTGAGTACACTCATCCAGTGTCGGGGATGCTCCTCTTTCCCCCCTGTCACACCCATGAAGATCCGGGTTAGAATTGATCTTCAGTAACCCATGCTTGTTGAAAGAGTCAACTAACGGGATCGGGGGTCAAGCTCACTGACTTGGTTGACACATGTCATCGGTTCCCAGTTGCATAGATCGATGCTCATGCTGTAGATCACTGGATTGTCTGGTCCAGACTTGATTATTTACAAACCGCTGCAATATACCTGGAATATTGCTGAGTGTGGCATGAAACTAAGCTCACTCACTCACTCACTCACTCACTCCCTCACTCACTCACTCACTCACTCACTCACTCACTCACTCACTCACTCACATGCCAACTTAAATGGTTTTGTAAGGGTATTGATATATTGGAGTCATGCTCTTTCTCAAGTCATCAAATCTTGACCGATCGGTTTTGCAATGACGTGCCTCATTTTGTTAGCTTGGGGTGTAGTACTCTAATGTGATATGAGGTTAACATTTGCATGGCCCCCAAACTGAAGGTATTTTAACTACATGGTGGAATGTAATGATACCTTGAGTTTCTAGAAATGGTCATGAGTTTGACATTTTGATATTGATAATGTTTGTAGTAGATTTCCACAAATCAATGGAAAGTTTACTGGACATTGATCTCAACTTTGTACCCCTTCAGGTGGTGGACTGGGTCCTGGGGCCCCCGGAGAGAAGCTCCTTGCAACACAGACAGATATCGGAGACTCGTATGAGACTGCAGAAGATCTCAGGAAACGTCATGAAGAGCTGCAGATCAAATGCACAGTAAGGATCTTCTTCCAGAGTATAGCTCCTTCTGTAAATAGTGCCATCTCTTGCTTCTGGGTACAGAAAGAGAGAGAGTTCCGAAAAATTACTGATGACCTTTGTATATTGCAATGTCTATGAATATGTCTCACATTTTAGGGTGTTACTGAGTACTGATTCATGAAAATATAATGTTTGAAACTTCCTGACATTATTTGTTTACTGTGAAGTGTCTTGGTATCCAAGACCGCCTTCGTGGTGTAGTGGTTAGAGCGTCTGCCCGGAGAGTGGAAGGTCGTGGGTTCGATCCCCGACCGCGTCATACCAAAAAGACGTTAAAATATGGTACTTGTTGGTCCCTGCCTGGCGCTCGGCATTAATGGTTACAACAAGGACTGGTTGGCTCGGAGTCAGTATAATGTGTCTGAGTGGGGTATTCATGCTTCACTGCGGCATGGTATCTCAGTGGGCTAGCACTATAAAACCAGCTTCAGTCTGGGCTAGTACAAGCAGCCGCACATACACATACACATGCATGCACGTCGTCATATGAGCGAAATATTCTCAGGTACGATGTAAAACCCAATTTCACCTCACCTCACCTCTTAGCATCCAATGCCAACAAATTTGTTGATGTCCTGAGTCTGCCACAGCTAAGAGACCTGTTAAGATCTGAGTTTCTACATGATTGTGTTTCCCAGGACACATATGGACAGTATGCTGAGCTTCGTTATGAGGCAGAGGAGATGATGCAGGATGGAGGCTCCCTGATGGCAGACATCCGAGCACAGCGGGACTACATGGACACTGTGTGTCGGAGTCTGGCCAGTCGGCTGGAGCGTGAGACGGGTCCTCCTCATCACCTCCGTCAGGTTCCACCGACTTGCAGAGGAGGTAAGCTCACAGTTTTGACTTGTTCTTGAGATCATTTATAAACCAACTTGTTCATATTCACAAAAGATGATCCAATCATTGAATCGTTCAAACTTGGTATATTGCCAGTTATTGCTGTCAAAACTATTCCTTCGAAATAATGCCTTGAAGAACTTGTTAGATACTATGAAATGGATCTTTTTCTCAAATGTAGTTTTCACGACGGTTGGACAACCTGTTGGAGCTGCTGTGTACTGATGTAGTAGCTGAAGATGTGGAGAGCGCAGAGGAGGCCCTCAAGAACCTCCATGAACAGTGTGAAGGGATTGGTAAGTTGTTGTTCATTTCACTGAGTTACTCGGGTGGAGCAAGGATTGAGCATAATGAGGGAAGTACACACTGCCAAAGTCTTTACTCTGGTCAAGACTTCAGCAGTCAGAAATACATCTGTCTTGAATGGAGTGAAGCCATAGGGGGCACTGATACAGATTGCACCCCTACAAGCTTACCTCTACATCTTCCAGTGGACTCTGTTCATCCTGACTGATCCCTTGAATCATCTTCCTTAAAGGAGTATAAAAAGCATTTAGTAACATAATAGTGAGAATGTTACAAACATGTGTTATATCAAGATGAGATGTTTTTATGGATGACAATTTCTTTATTCAACCTTGATGCAACATTTCAGTGTGGAACCTTATACCTTTGTCAAGCAAAGATTCTAATCAATCCATTCATGGTGCTATATCAACTTCTTATTGATTATAATCATCTACTTATTTTAACATGTCCTTCATCTTGAATCATTCTTCTTCTGCAGATGACTCTGCACAGCAAGCACTGAATGATGGCCAGAGTCTCCTGGATGAGATGTCCAGGCCCATTAAAGATGCTTTCGGCAAGGACATCTCGCCTGACTACAGCAGCCAGATCAAGTACATAACAAAGAAGCTGGAGGAGCTTCAAGAGAGGAAGTTGAGGTGTGATGAACTGGCTGATGTCCGCAAACTAAAGCTCCAGCAGATACTGCAGCTCAGGACCTGCGAGAAGGATGCGGATCAGGTAAGGGGATGCACCTTAGGCACTATATAGTCATAGAGTTTCTCTACTTTCACTGATAATGAGGTGAGGTGAAATGGGGTTAACGTCGCACTTAAGAATATTTCGCTCATATGACCACGTGCATGCTTGTGTATGTGTGCCTGCTTGTACTAGCCCAGACTGAAGCTGGTTTTATAGTGCTAGCCCACTGAGATACCATGCCGCAGTGAAGCATGAATACCCCACTCAGACACATTATACTGACTCCGAACCGACCAGTCCTTGTTGTACCCATTAATGCCGAGCGCCAGGCAGGGACCAACAAGTACCATATTTTAACGTCTTTTGGTATAATGCGGCCGGGGATCGAACCCATGACCTTCTGCTCTCCGGGTGGATGCTCTAACCACTACACCACGCAGGCGGTTCTTCACTGATAATGGATGCTTCTGGTAGGACTAAACTTGTCACCTTTGTTCGTGAAGTAATTTCTTGAAATTGTCGTAGCTGTGTAGAGTACCATATGAGTAAGTATGGGTGTGATTACACTCAGGTAATGAGGTTTATAAAGCACAAAACATGTTGATCAATCATATATCTGTTATTTGTTCATGTCAACAGTTACAACTTCTGCTGGGTTTTCAACTTTTACAAAGTTGTAACATGTTATATTTGGGATTACTTTTTCTCAGTAAAGTACAGATTCTAGTACTTTTGGGGGTTGAGTCCCATCTGGGATTCGAACCCACACCCTCAGAGTCAGGCACCTAATCGCCAGCAGCCAAAGTCAGATACCTAGACCGCTCAGTCACCGTGGCTTCCACAAAAATGGAAGTCGGACAACTGGTAGTCTAGACTGCGGACTTTGTGTTCCCCTCTGATAAGTGTTGATTGGCACGGCTCCCATGGCCGAAAGCTATGAAATACACAGTTGTGAATAGTGTGTGGGTAAATCTAACATGAGCACGTGTGATTGTGACTTCAGGCAATAGACTGGATCCTGGAGCTGTGTGATGTGATGGTGACGACCCACACTGACATGGGGAGGACGCAGGAGGAGGCTGAGAAGTTGCAGGAAGAACATCGCACATTTGAATCAACTGCTGCAGTACGTTACCCAGGATATCTTGGTGATATCAGCCCATTATATGTCCCTGTACCGTATATGTTTCTCCCAAAATCAATTTATGTAGATCGTGTGGTTACATTGTCAGCCTGGATGATTGCATAGCATCATGTGATCTCACATGTACACCTGAATCTCATACATCTATGTGGTTAAGCCACAGAGTTGCTTCCCTTGGCTGCCAGGATCTGCTAGTTGTTGATTCAGAACTATTTCTTTGGATTTTGTTAGGGTTCATTATACCCTAGTATGATGAAAAGATAAAAAGAAGGAGTGGAATTTTAATGCTGAATGCAGCTATCATGCCTGGAAGATTCACTGTGTCACATTGCTTTGTTTTGTAACTGGAAACCCATCCTTTAACATAATTTGACAAAAAGATCAATAATTTGGGATGTTTTTTTGTTGTGATTTTATCAGGGGACGTGGACAAAATAGTTCAGGGTCACTCATGAGATGGAATATGTTTGGGATGTTGTGTCAGCCATGTTTCTCTTCATGTGATAAGGTAAGACATAACTGGAAACATTAAATTAAATTAAATTGAATTAATCTGACCATAATCCTTAGAACTAACATAATTAAATGGACAAGATAGCTCAGGGTCATGAATATGTTTGGGATGTTTTGATCACACAATCTTTTAACGATATCCTGCAAAATAGTCATGGTCCCTAACTTTTTGATATTTAAAGTCAGCCTCCTCCCCTAAACCTTTGCTTGTTGAAGAGCCATCTAAACTGTGTGTAGTATGTATGATAACTCAGTTCAGCATCTTGGTATCAGATGCTCTTGGATGGGGGCTACCTGTGAAGGTCGGGCTAGAATGAACCTTCAGTAACCCATGCTTGTCATAAGAGGGCGACTAACGGGATCGGGTGGTCTGGCTCGCTGGCTTAGTTGACACATGTCATCGGTTCCCAGTTGCACAGATCCATGCTCATCCTGTTGATCACTGGATTGTCTGGTCCAGACTTGATTATTTACAAACCGCTGCCTTATAGCTGGAATATTGCTGAATGCGGTGTAAAACTAAAAACTCACTCACTCACTCACTCTTGGACTGGGGGCTTGAGATAAGTCCTGCAGTTAGTTTAACTGTTTCAGTGGTTACTCACACCACTTATGATGTCACTGTTGATCACAGGCTACTGTCATATAGAATTAGTCTACAGTAACCTATGCTTATTGTAAAACTGGAGTCAGCCTGGTGGCATCTGGGTAAGTGTACTCTGATTGTGTAGATTGTTGATATCAGTCAACGGTTTGTCTGGTCCGCATTATCATTTACACCCCATGTTCATAAAGCTGGAATATTTGCTACGTCTCACAACAACAAAACAGAATCATATAGCCCTTATGACATTTGGGAACAAAAAGAATCAAACAGCCTTTACAGAAACCTCTCGACCATGATGATGTAGGAGTTCAGCTGACTGTTGGATACAGTTCATGTCCTATAGAGCACAGTGATGTAATGGTTAGCATGCTGGCCTCTCACGGCAAAAGGTCCGGGTTCGAATCCCGGTGGAGACACCAAAATTTGTGACCTGGGTCTAACACTGTGTTGTGTCCCTGGGCAAGGCACTTCGTCCACATTGCACTCAGTCCACCCAGCTGTTCAATGGGTACCTGAGAAGCAGATGAACGGACCTATACGGTCGCGCAAAGCTCTTAGTAGTGGCTTTGAAAGTACAATTCTGTCAGGGTAATAATGTAACGCCGGAGAGCAGCATCGTGTTGGATTCTAGGCGTAAAAATTAGCATTATTATTATTATTATTGGTTCTCTATGTTTAGCAGATCTGTATTGAATTATGAATATTCTTATGTCTGGATATAATTTGTGTTTCAGCTGTTTGACCGAATCGAGGAGATCCTGGTTGTCATCAGCCAGGCACTGGGCCAGGAGGTTCCTATAGATGAAGTACTAGTGCAATATACCAAACCCAAGAACACCCTGTTGGCTGACTGTGCCGACACCACTCAGATGGGGAAAGCCTTGCTGGACAGACTTGCCCTGCCAGTTATCATGTTGGACGAGTGAGTTGATTGTTACAATATCATCTGAAAATAAACTTTCTTGTGATCTTGGGAATCATTAGTGTCAATTTGATTTTACACCTCTTTCAGTAGTATTGCAGACATATTAATGCAGGGGACTCCCAAGAAGGGCATTTATATTGTACCCATGAGGGTATTTATGCCTTGGTCTTTGGCGTGATCAACTAAACCTTAAAGGACTAGACTGGACCTTAATTAAGTATTATTTTGGATAAGTTGGCATTAGCTGGTTAAAAGCTTATTCCTCGAAATACATGGTCATCCCCCACATAGGAACTATGTGAACCCATCCTGTATGTTCAGGTTGTAAGGTGGTAGGACTGTTTTAGAGGAGGACAGTAAAAATAGGGTTAACACTTTTTGGGATTTGAACCCATATTTTAGGCATGAAATGAATTCTTTAACCACAAAGCTTTCACTGGACTTTCTTCACATTTGACACCAAGCTTCATCTAGGGAAAGTGCAAGGCCCAGTTGATTTTGGTGACCTTCACTTCATTTTCAAGGTCACTGCAAAACTTTGAAGATTTCAGTATGTTAACCTGAATGTTAAGATGGTCAGCAAGATATCTCAAGAACCATTCACTGGACTTTCTTCCTATTTGACACCAAGTTTCATCTGGGGAAAGTGCAAGGCCCAGTTGATTTTGGTGACCTTCACTTCATTTTCAAGGTCACTGCAAAACTTTTAAGATTTCAGCATGTTAACCTGAATTTACTGGATCTTCTTCATAGACTTTCAAGACTTCCCTTGAATGTTCTTCAATAAGCAATTTCTTTAGTACCACATATTTCATACACTGTGACATTCATGTCAAGGTCAAAGTCAGTCTTGAAAATATTCGTGTGTTTGAACAACTAAAGAGCAAGATATCAAGAAAGGTTGACTGGTCATGTTTTTGTTGACATTTAATTTCATCTTAAATTTTCATTACTTTTTAAGTTTGATTTGACAATTTGCGCAGCGGGGGATTATGTCACCTTAGTGACAATGCTTGTTAATAAGGAGGTAATTCTATGGATATGTATGTTTTTTACTTCAATGGATGTTACGTTTCAGTTTAGTTAGTACACTTTGTCATGACATTATTAGTATCTACTTCAAACATTGCATTCACTGCAGAAAAGAAGTTGTGTAGCCATTTAATTATCTCCCTTGTTCAACTCTCTTCCTCTAAAATGCTGTCATACAACATATGAAATAATTTAAGGAATAAACTCAGCTATTGCAATGCTACAATGTCAGCATTATATTGACTTCAATCTCCCCAGTGACAGCGTGATTAAAGCATGACATTTGTATTTTTCTTCAGAAATGATCGGAGACTGAGCATAAATGAGGAAGGAACAACCGACACTATTAATCACAAGTTACGAAAACTTGACCGCAAAGTTGGAGACTTGGACAAATATTGGGCCGAACTGGAAAACAATCAAAATAATCCTGATTACAAGCCAAAACTTAAAAGAACCCCATCCTCACGAACAAGATTACCAGCTGATACAGGACAAGTGCCTCCTCGAAGAAAATCTAGCAAACGCATTCGACCCAAACCACCCCTAAGAGGACAACAATTTCAGCCTGATGGGTCCACATACCCCGATAGCCCAGGCTCATCATCACATGGTTCTCCAGGTAGAGTGTACCCGTCCAGTGAACAGGGCTCACCAGCAGCTCAGGGATATCCCACAGGTCAAGGTTACCCTGCAGGAACAGTTCAGGGTTACCCGGCAGGATCAGGACAAGCTGGGGTTCATCCTGTGGCCTATACCAGGGTAGCTCAAGAACATACTCAAGCATCACCTGGGTACTCTCCCAGTAGTGGAAGAGGAGGCAGTAGGCCTGTCACGAATGGATACTCAGGTAAAGGATATAATTACTTGTCCTCAGTGCTTGTTAAAAGAACCAGTTGTGAGTGAGTTGGGTATATGCCAATTTAACAAAATTCTAGCAGTATCTCAGAAATGGGCTTCATCCCTTGTACCCATGTGGGGAATAGAACCCGGGACAATAGCATCACACTTTAACACTTCATCAACAAGGCAACTACACCACCACCAGTGTCTAGAAATAGGCTGTCTTGTGGTCCAGGGGAGATATGAGAGTAAGTTAGTGGTGGTCCGATTAATTGAAATAATCGAAGATTGGTCGTAGTGACTAAACGACCAAGCAATCGATCATAATTTCTCATAATCGAACACAAACAATTCTGGAACACTTGTTTTCATTAACAATATTTTTCTCATAGTTGGTTTTGCCTGTTACATTTCGTAAGCACTGCAAGCTCGTTTCAAGTCATGATTGAATTTATCTACAGATTCCAAGGAATTTGTTCCCAACATACAAGTCATTCTTTAAAGATGTGAAATTTTGCCAAAAAACCTAAAAGAACTACATGTTTTTTTTTCCTTATTTTTATGTGCATTAACAAATTTCATAAATGACGCTAACCAATTATTTTCGATGATTGATCGGTAGTAATGAACCAATCATCAATTATGAGATTTGAACCAATTCCCAACACTAGTGTAAGTTTGATTGTACCATTCTTTCAGCACTATTGCAGCCATATTGTGGCATCCATTGTGCCCGTATGGAGAATCGAACCCTATGTCTTTGGCATGAGTCAGTGAATGATTTTACCATTATGGCTACCCCACCACACCCAATAGCACAAAGGACATTGGTAAATATATGACCAGGAGGATTATGTTTTAAGACACATATCATTGCTTATGGTTTTGCCCATTGGTTTCCATGTACCAGTGGGTTTTATACAGCTGGGGAGGTGGGGTAGCCCAGTGGTTAAAGCGTTTGCTCGTCAAGGGAAGACCCGGGTTCAATTCCCCACATGGGTACATTGTGTAAAGCCCATTTCTGGTGTCCCCTGCCTTGATATTGCAAAAAGTGGGTAAAACCCAACTCACTCACTTTATATAGCTGGAATACTGTTCTAAGTGAACCAGACTCACCCACCATACACTCACTTATAGCTACCTATAATGGATACTGTGAAAATTTAAGTAGAACCCCAACTCACTCACTGACTATTTGCTACAGGTATGGGTGACCAGGTTGACCATGGGTCTGAGAGGGAAGCCCCAATCCAGCCAGTGTCAGCCCAGCTCGCTCATGCTCAGTATGGGCAGTCTCAGCCTCCAGAGGGTGATGACCTACAGAGAGAGTTAGAAGAGGTGAGCTTTTAAGGATAATTTTTGAACGATTTCTTTTACTGACTGACTGATCGTTGTCCTGGTTACAAAGCAGAGACCATTTGCACCAAATGATTGTAAGTCATACTAAAGACAGACTTTTGATAATTGTAAGTAATAAACCATACTTAAGATAGAGTCTTAACATGATTATAGGTCATAAACCATGCTTGAGATGGACTTACTATGACTGTGAGTCGTAAAGCATTCTTGAGATAGACTTGCCATGATTGTAAAGCATAAGCCATACCTAGAATGGCTTAGAAGACTTATCTTGATGATAGTGCAGACTGAACCATGATGAGAATTCTGAATGTTGTCCCTCAGCACTGTTTTGTATGTTTCTCGTTTGTGTCTCCCTCACATTACCATCCAGCCAAAGCATCAAGACCAGTGCTTTATGTCAACCGATTCCCCCATCCTGAAAAAACCTACAAATTTGTTGATGAAGCTGTGGCTATGCTATCTAATAGTGATGATGCTTAATGGAATGAATCGAGAACTGTCCAGCTCAAAGAGCTGTAATGAGTGAGTGAGTGAGTGAGCATGGTTTTACGCCACTTGTAGCAATATTCCAGCAATATCACAGTGGGGGACACCAGAAATGAGTGCTAGTGTGGTATACAGGTTAAACAGCAGCATAGTATCTCAGTGGGCTGATGCCATATACCAGCGAAACCTGGCCTGGTACATGCACAAGTATATATCATATTGCTGTAGGAGGCAAATCATCTTGAGCACGATGTTAAGCCCTATTTCAACTCACTGTGCTGTTGCTGCCACTTCTGTAATATGAAACTGGACTGTATCACATCCTATGTATAAATACAAGAAAAATGGAGATGAAAGAAATGTTTCACCAGTATTTATTATATGGTCTCTGGTTTGACATTGTTCATATGTTGATGCTGCAAGGCGCAAGATTGAGATCAAATTATAATACATACTTACAAGATGGGATATCTGTGTCAAAAATACATGGGGCATATGTGTCATGAAATTGATATATCTGTGTCATAAATACATGGGACATCTGTGTCATGAACACATGGGACATCTTTGTCATAAATATATGGGACATCTGTGTCATGAACACATGGGACATCTTTGTCATAAATATATGGGACATCTGTGTCATGAACACATGGGACATCTTTGTTATAAATATATGGGACATCTGTGTCATGAACACATAAACATATGGGGTTTTCTATGGGACATCTATTGTATAAGGTTTTGCCAAGGCATGTCACTCAACACCTAACCTTGCTAATCTGTTTCTTCCATAACTTGTTGAGGGAATATGGGATCTAGCCAAACTGTTTGAACAGATATTACAAACAAAGACAGGCAGTCAAAAGCTATACATTCCCATCTAACCACTTTCCCCAAACGGGTTCCTATATTGTTGACTTCAATTATTCTTGCTGCCACTAGCCTAATCTAATATCCAATCTGCTATGTCTATGTGATCAAAAGGTAATTTGTTATTATATTATGTTCAAACCAGGATCAGATTTTAAAAAACAGCAACCTACCATTTATCTCGGTTTTCTTTTGTGTACTCTTATATGAAATATTTTCTTTTCTTGAATAAATCGCATAATCGAACTTGCTCACTAATTATGATGTCATAATTTTTGTGTGCGCAGATTTCCTTTGTCTCCATTCATGTAGTGATACATCTTTCCTTGTGAACCGCCTCCGTGGTGTAGTGGTAAGATCGTCCACCCAGAGAACGGAAGGTTGCGGGTTCGATCCCCGACCGCGCCATACCAAAAGACGTTAAAATATGGTAAAGCTCGGCATTAATGGGTACAACAAGGACTGGTCGGCTCGGAGTCAGTATAATGTGTCTGAGAGTGGGGTATTCATGCTTCACTGTGGCATGGTATCTCAGTGAGCTAGCACTATAAAACCAGCTCAAGTCTGGGCTACTACAAGCAGCCGTACATACACATACACACGCATGCACATCGTCATATGAGCGAAATATTCTCAAGCAGGAGGATAAACCCAATGTCACCTCACCTCACCTCTTTCCTTGTGAGGAGATCAGGAGTTTATATGTCACTGTCTTCCACACTGTCTTTAATATTCGCTACTGAAGCACTATGATAACAAATATGTTAGGCTAAAAATTTTATTTGAGTTAAACCTGTGAAGATCTGGGTTAGAATTTATCTTCAGTAACCCATGCTTGTCGTGAAGAGGCTACTTCTGGGATGTGGTGGTATCCCAATTGCGTAGATCGATGCTCATGCTGTTGATCATTGGGTTGTCTGGTCCAGACTCAATGATTTACAGGATCAACTAGGATCACGAAAATGAACTGAACAGTTTGTCAACTAAATCAGTGTTTGTGGCTAATGATAAAATTGATGTCATTTAATTAATCGCAGATGACAATTTTGTCAGTATTTTGGGCTTTAGATCTGTCAAATTGTTGAAAATTTGACACGGTTAAACCAAGCACATGTTTGAGTGTCAGTAACATGTAGTATACACCTGTAGATGTTGCTTTTTACACTCCTGGCACACATCTTTGTAAGTTAAAGAACCGTTCAGTTTTCTATGCCTCATTTCCTCTGCCGATTCCATGCCTGTGCAGTTTGAGACTTCCATGATTCAATCCGTGCCACCTGTAGTATTAAACATTGCACAAGACTTAGTCAGAGTGGGTATGATAGCTCGCAGTTCCTTGTGGTGGAGCCTGGTGCTTGGTTGGACTGTAGCAGTACATGATGTAGTGATGTGTTGCTGGACTGGGTCATCATAACAGGAGTCATAGGGGACCAGTGGGCTGAGGTGCTGATATTTGCTGTTGGCTCACTCACTCACTCACTCACTCACTCACACATGCTTGTCATAAGAGGCAACTAACGGGATCGGGTGGTCAGCTAGCTAGCTGACTTGTTTGACACATGTCATTGTATCCCAGTTGCAGAGAACGATGCTCATGATGTTGATCACTGGATTGTCTGATCCCGACTCGCTCACTCACTCACTAAATCAATCATACTCAAACACTTATTTACTCACACACTCAAACCCTCAAAGATACTTATTCAGATAAAAGTATCTGCTCAAATATGGTTTATTTGTTCCATGACCTGTGGATCTGTATGCTTTCTCATTATTAATTGTATGCAGTATTGTTGGTTTATTGGCGTATTGAGGTTTATTGTTTCCACCAGATGTATCACAATATGAGCTTTGAATGCTCAGTATATCAGGTTATTTCAAACAGCAAATTTCATCATGTGTTTAATGTTATATGCTTGCCAAATAATTATGAAATGTTTCCTTAAATCCAAAATGCAAAACTTTGAAATAGGAAGTTAATTCTCAGTTACCTCCCTTGTGTGCATGTGCATTCCTACACTTCTGTGAATAACATCTTCATGAAACAGGCACAAATGTTTTAGCTGTAATTTGAATAAAAATATATTTACAACCTTTGATGTTAGAGGTTTATGCTTGCCATTATTTTCACCAGATCTTGTTTTGTTCTACTTATGATCTTCAGTTCATGAAATGATGTTTCAGATTGCTGTGGAACTCAAAATTTTGAATTATACAATATATCACGATACTTATCACAAAATGACCCGGTGTATCACAGTAAACCTCTAATATTTATCCTTTAATGAAGCTTTGGGCAAGTTGTTTATGTTGCATACTCGACATTACGAGCATTAGGGTTTAGGGTTTAGGGTTAGGGTTTAGGGTTAGATTAGACATTAGATATGATGCTTACCTTCACAGAACGAAATCGTCAGCACTGTCGTTAGCATCGGGTTGCAGGGGAGCGAAGGGGCGTCTCACATGCACAATTTCATCATCTCTGTCATGGGGTTTATATACCACGACTGATGAGCTCAAGAAAGCTATAAACATGTCCTCCCTGTTACTCAAGTACTTCCTTCTTACACAAAATTCTTCAAAATAAGGCGAATACAACCCTTTGTAGTGCCTGATCGTGGAAGAGATCTTTTTCAAAGCACCCCAAGAGGACTCAATGGTGTTAGTATGTGCTCCGTCTCGGGGTCCTTGAAATGGATCGGGTGATTCACTTTCAAGTGGAGAAAGTCTTCATGCTTCAAGCAGTCATAGGCTTTCCAGCAATCGCTTATTATTGTGGTGCCTGGTTTGATGTATTTCTTTATTATAGGAATTAGTGTCTCAGAGTCAGCTTGTCCACACATGCAAAAACAGTCTTTGGATTCCCGATCGATTCCCCCGAAAACCCACTGATCGTCAACCCTTTTTCCTCGATTAAATTTTCTTTTTCCAAACTTTGATTCGTCAATCTCCACTATTCTTCCCTCCCCACCGATCCTATCACTGTCAGAATCTGTAACAACAACACACACTTAGCGACAGAAGTGGTACCAGTCTACAGAAGTGTTGCAAGGCGAAATGTCTAGTTCGACGCATACAAAATCTTGAGACAACTTGAAAATCCAACAATATGTGAGCAATAAAATTTTGCCACAATCTAATTTGCTGTTTTCAAACCCAATTAATTGTGAATAATAGAAAGTTTTTGCCGCAGGATTTCTTGCTACATTTCCAACACAAATTGTCTTTGCTGTAGCTTTTATCTTTACACAAATAAAATTTCCCAATACAACATTTACGCATGTTTTCCGTCCCAGTTTCCAAAAGTCCCTTGTTTCTTAAAATCGATGAAGTTCTACTTTGTCTTCCGATAACTTGAATCGCCCCACAATCGCATCTTCTGAGCGCCCGGTAGTAGTTGTAGACTTCCAAATCACGGCCGTTACTAGGCTATGGCGTAGACACAAACTGACCAATCACTGAACACTTACCTTTCAGAAATTTCCCACGCTCATTCGGGCTCCAACTCCCAGAATTCCGTAGGTCCGTTTTTCAAAGGCACATATATTTTTATTTGTGATAACTTACCTTTTATTTTAAAAATCGTTGGTTAGTTTTACTAACCGGAAGTCGTCTCA